AATAAAATAATTATTTAGATAAGACTAGGAAAAGGATTAAACAAAATTCACTAACAGATAATTTTAAAATATCTGTATAAGCAAAATTGTAAATAACACAACAATTGAATGTCAATCAATTTAGGTAACTGTAATTGCTAATTAATACCTTTTCCATAGGGCAACATTTCCAATCTGTGTTTGTCTGAACATTAGTGTCCTTTTAAACCTGAATAGGTTTGAGTAAAAGACATTTGAGAAATGCAGTTTATTCTCTTAGGATTTATAAAGAATATGTGTTATTTTAGGACCTCCTAAGAGCAAATAGCAAGAAAGGAGTAGATTTATTAGGGGAACTACTGTGAGATGAAGACAAGGAGAAAGCTGGAGGAGACAGGAGAACCTCCAGGACCATAATGTAGGTCTGACTTCTGTGCAGAGGTAAAGGAAGAAAAGTTTGCATATAAAGAGGCTCACACTAAGAGAGAAAATATTAACAAAGTATTCAGAAGTCCATCTAGGAGTCCTCCAGCTGAAGTCACTAGTTAAAAGAATCCCCACTTGTCTTTGGAATCATATTCTCAGCCACCAAGAGCAGCCTGAGACTGACCAAGGTCTCTGCAGGGCAAAGGGCAGGTGCATGGATTTCAGAGCACCAGTTGGGACAAGAGTGCCCACAGTGAGATATCTGCAGGGTGTTTATCACGGCTCTGAGAGTTCCAATAGAGAACTCATTTAAACTGTTTTTAGCTTGAGTTTATATGGCCACAAACCACCTCCCATCTTCCCACATGCACACACTTCCCCTGTCTCTCAGCTTTGCAAGGAGCACAGGGGTCCCTTAGAACACAGCTTGGGAAACACCACCTCAGGGTAGAGACTCATTCTTGTTTTGATATTTTTCTTTCTTTGCTCTTGTGTCCTTTCATATCTGCAGCTGTTCAAAGTTCAATGTCTAAAGAGTAATCTTTCTGCCTAATTGCAGTGTGGCAAGCATGTTTTCTTGCCCTGGCTATTTCTAATTCCTAACTCTCAAACTGATTCAACAAAGAACCTCCAGAGAGATGTTCACTGTTGCAGCCCATGATATGTGTTCATCTGATCATTTCCTTTCCTGGACAAAAAGCTAAGCTACTTTCCCCAGCTCCTATCCAAAAAGAAATATGTAAGCACTGAAGTAAAGTTCCAGTGTGATTTTCCATGTTCTCTTATTAGCATATCTGAAAACAAAAATTTCCATGTTGGCAGAGTTGAACAGCACCTTGCTGCTGTTGGAAGAAGTGGGCCAGTTCCCTGAATTTTGAAATTTTGAAAAAAGAACTTGGACAAACTGGCCTTGGAATTTGGGCCATATTTGTTATTTCAGCAAAGCCTATCTAAACTAAGATAATAATCCATACAATGCAGGATTCCTGGGGAGAGAGGAGTTCTACAAAGCTTTTTCTCCAAGAAGTTTAATTCTGTATTGTTAAAGTGAGAAGAACTTTCTTGATCTCCCAATTAGGCCTAAATGAACATCTTTCATGCTGTGTGAATACTAGAGGAGTGTCTTTCTCTGAAGTGGTTTCCTGCTCCCACCACAAAGGACACCAACAGTGGTCTCACCACCTTTGCTCCTGGACTGAGCTCAGTCTGGTTGATTTGGCCATTGCTGCTTTACTGCTCCATAAACATGAATAACTTTGCATTAGTCCTTCAATTCTGGGGTTCAGATGACTTGAAAAATGTGCTTCCTCTAACGTTCTGTCACAAAGCCAAAGCTTCAAGATTTATGACATCATGAAGTGATTTTATTTTCAGGGATTGAAGAATAAGTCATTCTGCTTAAAGGTCTTTTGTTTATGCATTTCAAAAGCAAGTATGATTTATGATGTATCAGAATACATGCAAAATAAGATGTTATTCTTTATTAAATGGCAGCTCAGAAAGATTTCCTTTTGAACATAAAAAATCTTCCCTCTAAAGCAGATGAGGAAATACATAAAGGCCAAAAAAGACAGCAAAACCCTGAATCTGTCTCTCAAGAATCATTCTATCCTCAATTCTCATCTTTTAAAAAAAAATTATTTCAAGTTTCTAGTGAAAGTTTTTCTTTACCTTCTAGCTTCTTATATACAAGAGATGTAAGAATTATGAAGAGAATGAACTTTGTGCAGTATATTTTGTTTCCATTATGATTTTTCTCATAAATTCATTTCATATAAATGTTCTTTGAAAAGCTGTATAATTCCCAGCTATGTCACTTTGTGACTAATTAAATCAAGGGCTAGTTATTGTCTATAAAAAGCCATAGTCAATTGGTTTATTCAATAAAACATTACTGAAAACCTAGCATAAAGTAAAATGTTGAGGGCAAAGGATGAAATATAATCTAGGAGGAGAACATAGGCAAGGGTCAGCCAGTTGTCCACAAGGACACTTACCTGAGGCTGTCAGAGAGCCAAATAAACGATTCATTCTGATGAATCAGTAGCAGAGTGGTATAGGTATAGGGATGAGGGAACTATTTTCAGATCAAGAAGTCTCTGGAAGGGAACAATGGGTTAACTCAAGCAGAGTCTGTTGGGGTGGGTAGGCCTGAATATTGAAGGGCCTATGTGCCCCATATTTTGTCCCAATGGTAATAAGAGATGGAAGAATTCAACTCAGGAAAGTGATACTCAATTTCATTGCAGAAACTCTAGAAAAAGGGAAGAGGAAACTAAAGAGCCAGGAGAGTTTATTCCTATGATTCATGCAGATGAGAATGACAGGGGGCTCTGCTAGGGCTGTGACAGGAGGAGTGTGAGGACAGAGATGGATTCAGGCATTAGGAAAGTAACCCTGTTATTCTTTGTTTCTAAGAGAAATTCTGGTTTGACATATCATCTCAAGTTTAAGCACTTTCCCCAGCCCTGCTCTTGCTCTAAATGTCAAAACTGCCACATCAAATTGTCCATCTCAGACATGCCAATCTTGCCACTTCCCCCACTTTAGCTTCTAGTGTTTGGGGGCAAGGGCGGGAAAGGGGGAATAAGGCTGAAATGAAATGCTATCCCGTTACTTTAATGTGACCCCTTTCTGTTGTCCTTAATCATCCTAAGATATGACATTCTCAGGGGAGAATGCAGATGGTGATCAACTTTCAAACATCTTGCCCAAGCACCCTCAAGTTTAAGATATGTAATAAAGTGAATTCATATTTGCATTTACTTTTTTTAACCATTAAAATTTTTTTCCACAGAACGTCAGATTACTGAATTCCACGGGTTGATATACAGAGTTTTAAGTGACCTACATTCAGTAGTTATGTATTCTAATGGATGTTAGAACATTTGTAACACACTCATTATTTCAGAAATGTTACTGTTTAAAAAGGGTGAAGTTCCAAAGTAAGTCATTTCAAAGGTGTTGTCCAGATATGCTAGAAATAGCAAAAATTATTTAATTTCCTAAAAGTCAACAGATATCAATTCAATCAAACTCATCATTCACAGTGAGATGAAAGTTCAGAACAATGAATGAGATGCCCACAGTGGCAAAGATAAATCCTTTATCAACACTGAAATCACCTTTCCTCCCAGAGCTTAGAGCTGAGTTTCATTTCCCAGTTCCTTGCAGTAAGGATGGGTGTGACTTCTCCACATTCTCATGCCTCGCCTACCACATTTAAGAATCAAGCAGGGGATTCCTGCAGAAGGATGGACATGTAGAAACAAAAACTCCCAAATGTCAACATGCACTGGAGGGTGACTGGAGGGTAAACTGAGAAGTCTTCAACAAAATGAGCCTCAGAAATTTGGAGATGGCTGACACAACAGATTACCTGAACACAACCAGTGTCACACAATTGATAGCCAAGTTGAAAACAGGATCCTGGTCTCCTGTTTAGGATAAAATTAAGAATTAAGTCCTGAATAAAAAGATAAAGGTAGAATTGGTCTCCCACTGTATTTACTTCTCAGTTATAATTCTCCTAAAAGAATGAGCTTCTGAGAATCACCAAGGTGACTGAAGAAACCATATTCTAGATGACACATTTGAAACCAATACTCATGACAATTGAGGTACTCAGCTCCACATGGTGGTATATGGATGTTATTCTCTATGTTCTCTTTGCAGATCAGAGGAGAGAGTCTTTTCTAGCAGGTTTGAGTTTAGTCAGATGAGCCCAAGTTGACCTCAGTTCCTCCCCTAGCACCTCAGACATTAACCTGATCTCAGATCTCTGGTTCCATTTGAGGCATTCTAGCCACATACTCTGTTATGATTCAGTTAATGATAACCTGATCCCCTTCCCACATGCTTTTCCTTTTGCCTGAGTACTTCCCATTCTTTTTTTTCAAAAATTACCATCAAGTCCAGTGATGCCTAATGAAAAACATAGTAAAAACAAACAACCCTCTGTCTACAATGAATTCATACATATCCTGTGAAACTAAAGGGAGGGATGTCTCATCTGCAGTGAAAAACCATCAGAGACTTTGGGTCTTGCACACTGGGTCTTGCCTTGGTGCCAGGATGCTACATGGAATCACAACCGTGCACCCTGAGGAGCTCCTCCCCTGCCCCAGGTACCTATCCCCACAGCCCTGACACATGGAGCAGAAAACTTGGCAGTAGCATGGGCCAGGGCTCTCTCAGCCAAATAGTATATACTTCCATTTCAAAGTTTTAGACTAAAATGTATGTAGTAGTTTTAACTCTGATGGTGAAAGATTATAAGGAAAACAGAAACAGAACACATTGCTTATATCCATCCCATCTTGGGCTTTAGCTCTCAACAAAGGGTCATCAAATGCTGCCCCTATCATCTTTTCTTGAGGAACACTTCACTAAGAGCCCATTGGTTCATGGTCATGTCTGAGTTCCTCAGAAAGGGCTGGGTTTGTCTAAAGCCACAAGCAAAAGAGCATCCAAAGATAGACAGATACAGTACTCCCAACCCAGAGCCCTGCCCAGACCAGTTTCCTGGGTGGCAAGAAGTGGGTGTGGCCGGAAAGGGAGAGATGGGTGAAAATTAAGAGAACAGATAAACCATATTCTTATGATATTTTATAATAGTAGAAGTAACTAAGATTCTACTTATTCCCTATGGATAATCTCAAAAAACAATGCTACTTCAGATATGTAACACAGAAGGGTACAAGAGACTATCAATGACCATTAAACGTTAAAAATAAGCATTGTTTATAGACACATATTCATAAAAACAGTGAATGGACTTCATCAACACAAAATTTAGGAAAGAAGAACAAATCAAAGGATGGGCATGCAGATGGCTGATATTCACTTTCAAATTTGGCAAGAGATACACAGGGGAAAGTTATATTTCTGTTTTCAAATAATGTATTTCAGGGAGGCAATAAAATAATAAAAAAGGTCAAAGCTGAGGTCTAGTTCTTTGCAGTCAGTGGGTATTTGTGTTGGGGGTGTGGGAATAGGGTATGTGCAAATTGCCAATAGCAAGTAACGTAAGGTATGTGTGCAGACCTCTAAGTCCTATAGTGTGGTTTCATGGTATATTTTGGATCCAGATTTGGAAACAAAAACATCCTCTGCAAAGTGATTTTTAATGGATGATCTATTTCTACAAAGTCCCTTCTAGCTTAAGTAAAGCATTCTAAAATCATAATCTTACTAGTAAAAAAAAAAAAGAAAATATTACTGTGTCTGGTTCTAAACTGGGTCCAAATGTTCTTGTTATTGTGTCAGGTTCCAGCCTGAGATAGACACACATATCATAGGAAAGTAAGTGATCAGCCAACATAAACAGAGAATGACAGGAAGCTTCCCCGGCTGAGTTGCTCAAATCTTTAAGGCTTGAAAGGGGCAAATACAGCACTTCTGTGACCAAAATCAGCCACCTGCCCCACTGAGAAGGGATTGCACTGTCATTTGCAGGACTGCTGGAAAGTTCAGCATATATATGCAGTTTATATCACTCAGACATAAACCAGGTGACATTGCCAATTGTTCATTATATAACATAAACATAGAGAATTCAATATTGATATAGGACCTATGTTCCCTTATGACACATATGTTATAAATATAAAAATACTTAAGAAAATGTTGATTTCTTCAAATGGAGACAACTTGAGAATGTTTATCTGCAGGGGAAAAGGAGGGAGCAATGCTAAAACCTTTTAAGAGTGTGGGAGTACTTTCAAATATAAAAAAATTATTCACAAAATATGTAAAATATGTCTATATTTTTATATTCATAATTCCATTAGAGCTTGAAAAAAGTGTAAAACATGGAGTGAATTTCATCTACTCTCATTTTTCCAAAATATACCCAAATCTAATCTTTCCTATGTGAAGGGAATCCAGAAAACATATTTCCTTCTTTTCGCCTCCAGAGTCATTCAGACTGAGCCTGGGGGCAGGTCCACAAACAGAGGCCTCTCCCCAGAGGACAAGCACACAGCACAGAAGGTTCGTGAGCCATTAAGACCTACTAGCCCAGAACCACCAATTTTGTGCTTAACAAAAACACAAACACAAAGCACACATTTAATACTCAATAAGCATAATTCACATTTAAGAACAAATCTACTCTCATTTTTCCTTTCAATCTTTAAAATAAAAGTCAAAACAAATGTTTTGCTTTCAATTTTTTCTATCTTGTATCCTACATAGTGCTGTTGAAAAGTGCCAAATATGAATGTGTAAGAAAGTAAAATACAGAATTATGAATAATTTAAGCAACAGCAAAGCTTAGGGTGGGTATCTCTCAAAGGACATATGTAAAGGGGGTTGGATTCATTAGTCTCAAGTCTCATGATGAAGTTTGCTCTTTCTACCCCAGAAGACATCTTCTAAAACTAAAAAAACATGATGAAGAGTTCCTAAATCCAACCTGAATACAGACATGATGGCATCCTTTTACAAATGAGCATACCATTCCTGGATTAGAATGAAATGTAAGTCACCACCAAATATATTTGAACACATTTAGGCCTCAGCCCACTGATTTAAACTATGGAAGAAGCAGGAGTAGAAGTGCTTGTTGGTGTCTCTTCACCATTTTGCCTGAGCTAGCCTTTCCCTTCTTTGTCAATCTACAGAGATACTTGGGGAGAGTAAAGAAATAGGAAACAACAAGCCATTTACCAAGCATGAATATCCCTGCATGCCTCAACACTGAATCTGAATAGCATGCCTCATTTATAAAACCAATTTAGGAGAATGCTTGAAATAGTGATGACATTTGTAATATTATCAACTAAAATTCCAGGCAAGTCTGTCAGCCATGCTAACTAGTAATAAGCCTAACACATGGTCATAAAGTAAGTAGTTTATTCTTCAAAAATGCTAGACTAAATTATAACTACTAAAGTCTAATAGAACCTAATACATTTACATATTTTTAAAGTCATTTATATTGACATTAGTTGGCCAAACTTTAAGAAACTTATGGAAACTAAGAGCAATCCTGTTGATATGGTGGTTGGGTTCTGGAAGTGCTCCAGTTCTGGCACTTATTGCAGAGGAAGAACTGCAGGTGGTTCCATGAGGGACACATGCAGGTACCTGAAATGAAACCCACAGCAAGGTTAGCACAAAACACAGACATTCATTTTATATAATCTCAGTTAGGCTACAGTGGTGAAGGCATTCCACTTCCCACTGTCTTGACAAGGTCACAGTGAGGACACTTGTGGGAAACCAAAATCATGAGACCCTTTTTTATATAATTGGGACTTTTTATTTTATATTCAGCCTAACAGAAGGCATGAGTAAACTTTAAATTCTAGATGGCCAAGAATATAACAGGTGGTTCATGACTTAAAGGCTGCTTTACTATCTCTCGGGACATATAGGACAAAACAGAAAAATATCAACAGTCATTCTGGGAAATGTTACAGGAACACTAGGCATCACAATTGATTATATCAACTAAGAATCCAAGTTCATATCTTCAGTCTTTCAAACCTGCGTAGACAGTTATCATGTCCATTGCACATAGCCCACCATATGTAGCCTATTTAATTAAGGGTAGGATATGGTATTCATCCAGGGGAGAAAAAGTTAGTTAAAATATATTTTCCTTCTAATAGACCCTCTTTTAACTTTACATAGGGATTTATGATAAGCATAGTTAATGTTAACTGCAGAGGGATTGACATACAGAGCCTGCCCTTTAGTTAAAGATTACAAAGATTTAAGAACTGCTATACTTTAACTAAGAAACAAAGAAACTCTCTGAGAAAGTAGCTTAATCAGTTTTATGAGAATAAATGTAGGCATTTTAGATGCTTTTAGAATATATTATAAGATTGTTATAAGGGAACTTTTAGATGGGATCTTAAAGTACAGGTGTGCTTTATACTTAAAGGTTAATGACAGGTTAGGAGACATAGAGTCTGGTTACGTAGTTTGGCATCTGTTAATTAAGGAAATGTCACATCCTGGGAAAATCTGGAAATTGTAAATTGATGACGTATTTTATTAATGATTCTGGACCCATAATGATGAGAAAAAATAGAATAAAAGGAGACAGAGAGAAAGCCGTAACAGCACTCGCTCGCTCTCTCTCTCTCTCTCTCTCTCTCTGGAGATTGCTCCAATGGAACGACTCCTTGTCTCATCCCTTGTGCTGATGCCTCTCATCCTTTAGGACCCCTTGGACCCTGCTGGTGCAGGACCCTGGCACTACAGAAAACTCTCTAAGTCATCACAGCAGATAGGAAGGAAGCTGAGTGACTATAATTACTACAATCTGACAATTATCAATCTAGGTCTCTCCAAATTCATTTTCTTGATTTTACATGTATTCTTACTTTACCAACCTAACACCAGATATATAATTTATTCCACTTCTAATTCTGATACAACTATTACCCATTAAGCTTTGAACAGAGCCAAGATAAGAAAATGTCAGTAACTTACTTTGAAGCCTTATACTTCTCCCTAATTGCTTGCTGAGGTCGATGGGGTATGTCAAGGCATGCTTTGTGTAGCTCACTCAGGCAAGGCACAATTTCACTTAATGAGTAGCCTGTAAATGCAGCAAGGGTTTCTGGCTAATCAAGACAAAAGAAAAAAAAATTGTTTCACATAACTTTTTAAGATGTAGAAGTCAGAAGACAACCAATTGTAAAGTAAAAGTAAATGTCCATATTAATTTAAAGAAAACATGTCCACCTTCTTCAGAGACATTAGATATGAAATACTTAAAATACAGCAGAGTTCTAAATTTCTAAGTTTGCTCATATTTCATATCATAATTCTCAATTTAGGGCAGATCACTTTCCCTGTACCCTCATGAACATGGTTTTTACTAGTCCCTTAAAGAGTCCTACTTTTGTGACCTCCTTATTTATATAGAAAATGAAAGCTTCTTAGTCTAAATGCAGCATAAAAACTAAGTATTCCAGAAAATAAAGGGAAATATCCCTTTTTTTTTTTTTTTTTAGTATAACAGTGAGCTTTCAGAACAAAACCTAGGGACCTGTTTTTGATGATACCACCTCCTCAGGAAAGAGGCAACACCAATGTTCTGTTTTCTCAAAAGCCTACTGCAATTTCTAGCTATCCTCATTGGACTGATGTTTTTTTTTTTTTCCACATATGATAAAAGTCAACAACTTTTGCTTGAAGCAGCCAATGACTGCATCTCAAGTCATTAGCAGTGGGCACCCAGATTTTCAGGCCCGCTTCTGTTGAATGGGCCTGCAACATGATCGCCTGAACTTCTTGCAACCTCTGCTGGACACAGAATAAAGCCACTGAGTCAAAGCCATGATGACTAGCTGACCTGCAAGATTCAGCAGCAAGTTGCAGTCTACTGTAAAGACATCCAGTTCCTTATTAAACAAACTTGCCCTTCTAAAAGGGAAGCCTGTAAGCCTTAAAAACTACTGAACAGATTTTAGACAGGTCTTGAATTTCATCTAGAAAGAAGAAGAAACTTACCCAGAAGTGCCTGTTCACAATATAGTTTGCCAGGCAGTAAGCTGCAGCAGCTATCAATGAAGGAAGATATTTCAAGAATGGATCAGCTTCAAGTAGACTCAGTTCTGCTACATACTAAGCACAAGAGAAAAAACCTCATTGGAGTTAGAAATTTGACAAGATCTAATTGACTGAAGTCATAAGTAAACCTAGAAAAGTCATAGTAATAAATTGTGTTTTCTCTTTGTTCAGACAGTATCCAGTGACTAGTACAGACATAGTTAAAATGAATCACTGGGTCAATAATTGGTATGACTGTCCTTAACCAGAATAATATTTATGTTTTAACAGAATTTCAATACCCTAGTATTTGGCCTATCCACAAAGTACATATGATAGGTTACTTTTCTCGTCTTACACTAGTAGTGCAGGTTTATGCTGGTCAGATAAAGTTGTATTGCTCTGGCACCTGGAATGGGAACAGAGCCTTCAGTCAAAGGCAAAGATATGACAATATTATAGCTATTAATTTACTAGGCAAATGAATATGGTTCTGAGTCTAGAACAGTACTGATGGGAACATATCATGTCAGAATAAATATACTTAAGAAATGTATATGGACATCCTTATTACTCCCTGTATGGCATAAATGTACTAGATATCATAGTCTGGAGTGACTAGAAAGCAAGTTGATTAGACTAATACTATAGTACTTTCAACTAAGTTTCTATAACATTAAATAACCAAACAACACTTCATTAGTTAATAGGTTAGGATGATATTAGAACAAAATTAAACTACATCTTAGTTCCCAAACTAAGAAGTGCTGCTTGCATGTGACTCTATATACACACCAAGGAAAGAGTTTCCAAGTTTAAATTCCTTTGATGGTTGACTGATTTGACAACCTGTGCCTGCCAACTGTAGTCAATAGTAATGTCCTGTAACCAGATTTTGTGTTCTTAAAATCAGCTGTCTTTCATTGCTAAAAAGGTGTACTGGGCCCAAGACTAGGGGGGAAAAAAACTGCAAAGGAATGCAGAACTGAAGGATGACTGGGAAAGGCTGCTTTTTACCCTCTTTGGTACCAGAAGTTCCTGGAAATCACATGGCATACCTTGGCCAGGTTCTCAGTTCTGACACACACTCCTTGACGCCTTAAGTACTGAAGGAGAAATTGGTTGGTGGTTGGAACTGTCAGATCAAAAGCTAGGACTTTCAGGAGCAGGTGTTCCATCCTTAATAGTTGCCGTTTTGTGTATGTGTCATCAGTTATATAGACAAACTCATCTACTTCAGGTGGATATATCTCTTCATATTTCCTGGGAAAGGTAGAGAATTTTTAGGAGTAGTTTGGCACCCATACTTTACTTCCTATGTTACCACAGGCCATGTTTTTCAATAGAGACCTGCAGAGTTCTTTATTCCCTCTTTATCCACTTCAATATCACTGAATTTCACAGGGCTATGAAAATATTAAGAGCTTGTTTCCAGATCATGAACATGAGTATTATGAGAACATGTTGTACTTACTGCTAGCAGTAGAAAGAGACACCATGTCCAACTGAGAGTTTAGGTTTTGGTCTCAGATACACTGAAAAATTCTGAATGACAGACAGCACAAGTGAATTCCTATCAATTCTATAGACTTCAAATTGTTTTGTGGAAAAGAGAGAAAAAAATTCATAGACCTTTGATTTTTAAAAACATCATGTTTAACTTTGTCTGCTGAATTAGCAATTGATGCTGAATAGTCAAGAGAAGGAGAATGATGTTTCACTATTTTCATTTCTTACCTTCTGCTTTTGTTTCTACTTTCTTTAGGAAATATTGGCAAGTGTTTACATATTAATAACTAGACTATTTAAAACCAGAAAAATAGAAACCATCATGCAGTAACAGGTACATCATGACAGCTCAGATATAACCCAACTCTTTTTTCTCACACAATGAGATATTACTGAGTCACTGAAGGAACAGGAACCAACTAAAATTATTTATAAACTATAACCAAATAAATAAACTATTATTGTGAGTTATTTGCTATATCATGAAGACAGTTTTTATGAAATAAAAATCTCTTTAAATAGGACTTTTACTTGTATTAGAATATAGCCAAAAGACTGTTCTGCAAAACAAATTTCTGCATTTGAGCTGATGGCTCCTTTAGTCACGACATTGAACTTATTGTAATAAATCTTAAACATCTGAATTGAAGAGTGAACATGTGGGTGAGATTCAGTTTCTTGGTAAATCCTGAAAAGATAATGATCTTTTATCAAAAGAGACACAAATAGTTCTAATTATCAAGCATTGCATTTCTTTAATAAATGTGAAAAAAAAGTCAAGTGTTTTGACAGGAGGTAGTTTTACATTATTCAAGCTCAAAGAATTACTTACGAAGCCAGAAAAATAGCTGCTGTCCCTACAAGCTGCAATTTCCCTCTCAGAACAGACATGCAGGAAAGAAACCTGTCCAGGAAGTTGACAGCCAGGTACAGAGTTTCTGATCGAAGCTTATATTCTTCGCCAACCTCCACCAGCCAATCCACCAGAATTGTACGCATGCTTTCTGTGATGTCTGGCTGTTTCCTCATGTAGTGTGCTTTGGGTCTGTATCTTATCTGTTTGGGAAAATAATTTGGATATGTAGAAAGTTGTAATATCAGAAAGATCACTCTCCAGTATAGTGGCTATTTTATTTTAAAATCTCATGAGCAAAGGTTAGGAGGATGCTAGTTTAGAGACAAATGTTTTCATCATGATAAAGAAGAAACTATGAAATTCTGGTTCTATAATGTAATGAGTTAACAACTTGAGGAGGAAATAGCAATACTGGTTATTCCTAAGAGTGAAATACTTAACACATAAATCCTTTGAGTCGTATAGAAATTGTGCCTACAATTGCTACTTACCATCACTATTACAGGTTGAGTATTCCTTTTCCATAATGCTTGGGACATGAGGTCTTGGATTTGGGATTTTTTCTAATATTTACATATACACTATTAGCCATCTTGGGGATGGGACCCAAGCCTAAACATAAAATTCATGACTTATACACACAGACAAGGATAATTTTATATAATACTTTTAATAATTTTGTGCATAAAACAAAGATTCATGGTGTGGAGTTTTCCACATCTGGCATCATATTAACATTCAAAAAGTTTTAAATTTTGAAATGTCAGACTAGAGATATTTGACCTGCATTATTTTTCATAGATTTCTTATATTTGGATACCATGATAGTGCCATTCTCTAGTGGTATGGTCAAGAACTTGTAGCTTAATATTAGGAGTTTGGGATCCTGGAGAGGTTAGGAAAACTCACTTCAGCTTCTCTAAGGTACTGATGAATTTCTTCAGCATATTCGGTCACATTTATCACATCTGTGCCCAAATCTGACGCTTCTTCAGACTGGAAATGGAGAGATGAATCTACCAGCATAGGGGAAACTGCAGAGGTTCAACATTGTCAGATAAGTCATTTAATTGAAAAACTCCTTACCTCTACTCACCCTCCACAGGCAGTTGTGAAAACTAGCCATTATGTCATGTTTTTCTCTTTCTAGATACTTGCTACTGGAACACTGCAGACAATTGAGAATACAGAGCACCATCAGCTATAGATGAGTCAGATTACCTGTATTAAAATCCAGCAGGAAGTGAAGGTCTGACTTGAGTGTGCTGGTATCTACTTCATACACATCCTCAAATGCCATCCCCTCTCTTCCTGAGCAGCTGTCTCTGTCCCCCTGCTCAGGCTCGTCCATGTAGATATCAAATCCATGCTTGGCTGGCTCCAGGACCCCACAATCAGAGAGCATTTTCTTTCCAGCTGGAGGGAAGACATTTTCTGATCCAGAAAAACACCTGATTGCTGTGATCTCCTAAAGAGTTAATTTCTTGTTAGAGACTACCCCACAAAGATCAACTAGGAAATGTGAACCTAGCAGCTTGAATAGGTAAGATTGAATCCTAAATTGAAATGTTATTAATTTAATTACAGAAAATAAAGTTCAAAAAGTTATATTAGTCTATGTCTGATATACAGAAAGAGCTATCTAAAATTTGCTATTTTCTTTACATATGTATCAAAGGGAACTCAAGATTATAGAAAGAATAAAATCTATATCTCTTCTCCAAAATGAAATAGGTACAACTTGCAGGAGGAAAACTGCAAGTTGGCTTTATGTTTACAGCATCACAAGACATTAAAATACTCAGCATCGTTCTTAACATATGGTCACAGAGTTCCTAGAGCCCCCTCCCGAAATATTTAATATTTAGTTGCAGCCACCTATGAAGTTCCCAGTTTCATTCTTAGTTATTAGAAACATGATTTTGGAAACTCATACTACTAACTTCTCTCATAAGCTATAAAACCTTTTTGTATCTATAATACAATCATGCTTGGTGAAATTTTTCAAATAACTTCTCCCTTTTCTTTAACATTAACAGTGCAAACAACTGTGGTACCACCACAGTGAACAAGCATAGCACATCAAATGCTGTTGCATCTTAAAGGAAGTCATGTTAGATGGTGTGAAATCATATGAGTTAGGGCAAGTAAGCCTGAGTTATATTTATGCAAATGTTAGCTCTATCTACTATATTAACATTTTGCTTATACTTAATCTATGCTATTAAAGGCTAATTCCAAGTTAGTATGTGGTTATATAACTTTTCTTTCTACTTATTATATATATATGGCTTATGACTAATAAGAAAATAATCTTGGGCTGGGGATGTGGCTCAAGCGGTAGCGCGCTCGCCTGGCATGCGTGTGGCCCGGGTTCGATCCTCAGCACCACATACCAACAAAGATG